CAATAATAATTTGTACGTTTATATAATATAATAATATTACATCGTGTTAAAATGTATTAATTTCACAGCAAGTTGTGAAAACAAATAATGTGGTAAATATATGATAATATAAACAAAATCATCGAAAATCTGTTAAAAGAATAGCTTCATTAATTTTATTAACAATAGCAACCAACAAACTTCATTGAACTGTCTAAAAATTGAACTGAATGCATACGTTTCGTAAGATCTAGGTAATACTTTATAATTTTGTTTTCTTGGAATTTTAAAAAAATAGTTTACGTCAGTGTACACTCGTTACAAAATTGGAGCAATTAAATTTATAACACGATATTTCATGTTTCTGAAGTTATTAACATCGACCTCCGATAAGATAGCAACGAACTTCTGTGACATAGGCATATAAAACATAAGTGGTATTGCATATTTTTACTTCATCCTTGATAAGGAAGCCCGACAATTCTTATTAATTAGGTATTAAAGTCTTTACTTGGAAGTATTTTTTTCATGGTATAAAAAATTCTGGCAAAAATGTTTAATAGATAGGAAATATAAAAACAATGGGGTAGTTTAAAAGTACCAAAACTACCCAGATAATGCCATTTCTCTTTGTGGTCTTTATGTCCAACTAATTTAAACTATTTACGTTCCCATCTCTAACGCAGTTGTTATTACCACTTCGAGAACTTGTAAATTTTAATAAAAATTATAATGAAACTTTTTAATTTTGAACTGTTCGGACCCTATGAAGGTGTTGTCGAAAATTTCTTGAACATGTAGCATTTACCTATTCATAGATACTTTAAGTATTATTAAGGTTAAAAATGGGATTCATCCTCTAATTTTCTACCCTTAGCTTCGAGTTATCAAATAATACTTCTTTAATTAGTATTTCTTTGTGAATGAACATTTATGTATTTATTTCAGTAAAAATTGGTTAAATGTTACAAAGTGCCTCAATATCTATGCTTTTCAAAGGAATAACAAAAATTATGAAACAGTACTATCAACATATTTTTAATTAACCCCCCGGATATAGGTAAGTTCTGCCTTCTTGCCGATTTAAACCACTCTGAAACTGCTTTGTGTACAATTTCATACACAGGCTTGTTTAGCCTCTTGATATTCCCACTTGCACTATCATTTTCCACTGCGGTGATAATTGAGTGCTTATTCTTTAAAATAGTAGAAACTGTACTTGCCGGAATACCGTACTTCAAAGTTACATATATATATTTCTTGAGCCACTTTCCACTTCCTTTATAAGCTTAAATTTTTGACCAACAGACAATGTTTTTAAAGTACGTTTTGATGACATATTAACACACGCAAAAATGTCTTTAATGCAATATATAAATGAAATAGGCACAGTATTTTTTACATTTTGTTAGTAGTAACTAGTAAGTCAAACAAGTGAACTTAGTAAGCGCAGAAACTGAACTGCCTGCGTTAAAAAGCGGCCGAAATTACGGGATTCCCCCAGAAAATTCGACTTATCAAAGTTGGCGCAAAATATTTCGTTCGAGTTATCAAGATATTCGAGTAATCGAAGTTCGAGTAATCAAGACAAATTTACACGCATTTCCTACTTTTGACGCTATTGCCAATCAATTTGGTTCGACTTATCAAAAATTCGAGTTATCGAAGTTCGACTGTATACAAGGAGTTTCTGAAATAAAGAGCAAGTTTGCAGGAGATAGTAAGGCACAAAACAAAACAATTAAGTAAATGTTTCAAAGTTCACTATTTTCAATTCAATCAAATAATAATAAAATAATTAGCAGAGTCCGTGTTGTATTTCATTTGTATTTTTGACAGCATTGTTTCTTATTTGTTAGATTAAATTAAGTCTGATTGACAATGTTTAGCTCTTTGTACTTTTATGCACATAGTCGATCCAAGTGATTGGCAGTAGACCAAGGTGTCAGTGTCACAGGTCAGTGCAGAATAGTATTATTAATTTAATTATTTTAAAAAACGTGTCAGATGAAATGAACAAGACCAAGACCAAAACGGGCATGTATTAGTCTAAGATACATTTTCACCATGAGAAAACAGCTCCATAAAATTACATTAACTATTTATGTTACAAATCGTGGACGAAGGGGAGGAGGAGAAGGATTATAAGCGTTTGAAATGTGATGTTATAGGCCAATGATGATGATGATAGGGAAGGTTAAAAATAAGGAGGTGCTAGAAGGAGTAGGAGAAAAGAGGGCGCTGTGGAAGTTAATAAGAAATAAGCAAGATAGATTAGTAGGATACCATCTCAGGCATAAAGAACTAGTCAGAGGCATATTAAAAGAAACAGGAGTTAAGAGGAGTAAAGGTAGATTTAAATGAGATGACTGTTCACAAATATGGTAGTTAAGGATGTGGGATGTACTAGTTTAAGGAAAAGCGAAGATTGACTCAGGATACGAAAGAGTGGAGGTGTATGTCCAACCTTAGGACTGACGACCTTTTGATGGTGGCCTACCTATTAATGTTATTATTGCAGAATATATATTTTACATACGATATTGTTTGATATTCATTATCATCTTCATAGAGTCTTCAGTCAATGACTGGCTGAACTCATACCTCTGCTCCTTCCTAAATACTACAACATTTCAAATCTCTATTTGTG